ACTTTAACGCCCATCACGCTGAATGGCTCGGTTCACGTACCACCGACTATGCGGGGAGATCTGTTCATGGCTTTGCTTTGGCATATGGTTTGACGCAACTGGTATCCTCGCCTACGCGAATTCCTGATGTTGTTGACCATATACCTTCACTGTTGGACCTTCTGCTGACTTCTCATCCGGACGGATATCAGATCTCTGTGGAAGCCCCACTAGGATCCTCTGATCATTGTCTGATACGGAGCGAAGTGCCTCTCACGCGTCCTTCTTTGCCGCGATCTACTGGTCGACGTCGTGTTTGGCATTTTAAGTCGGCAGATTGGGATGAGATGCGAAGTTTTTTTGCATCTTACCCATGGGGGCGAGTTTGCTTCACCGATGTAGTACTTCAGGGAATGGAGATGTTTATTCCAAATTCCCAGGTACCTGTCGATATTAGATCTCAGTCCTGATATAGCGGATCCTGTAGATCGACGTCTCGCCATAAGCAGGAATGCTTCCGTGCCTGGATTGCAGCTGTGAAGTCGAGTGATCCAGAAACCAGTGCCCTTAAAAGGAAGTATAACTCCGCTTCCAGGTCCTTCAAAAGAGTTATAGCCACAGCAAAGTCGGAGCACATCAGTAGAATTGGTAAGAGACTAAACAGTCTGCCATTTGGATCCCGGGCTTTTTGGTCTCTTGCTTGTAAAGGTGCTCAGGGAAATTTCTGTCAGCCATCTTTTCCACCACTGCGCAGAGAGGATAACTCGTTGAACCAACATGCTAAAGAGAAAGCCGATCTCCTTGGGTCTCTTTTTGCATCCAACTCGATACTGGACGATAGGGAGCAATCACCGCCGGTCATCTCGCGGTGTGAGACTTTTATGCCAGAGGTAAAATTTACCCAAAAGCTGGTACGTAAGTCTCTTTTCTCCCTTGATATCCACAAGTCGAGTGGGCCTGACGGTATTCCTGCTATTGTGCTCAGAACGTGCGCATCTGAGTTGGCTCCGGTACTAACGCGTCTTTTCCGGTACTGCTACTCTACAGGTGTAGTCCCGAAACTTTGGAAGACGGCTTTGGTTCATCCGATCCCTAAGGGAGATCGCCATCACCTCCTTATTCTCAAAGACCATGGAGTCGATTGTCAACCGATTGTCAACTCCTACGATACCTAGAAGTGAACCAGTTGATTTCTGATCGTCAGTATGGCTTTCGAAAGGGTCGCTGGTGCTCTTCTACTGTATTTGACACATCGATGGGCAGAGGCTATTGAGAGTAAGGGGGAGGTACCCTATCTGTTAGTCTGGATATTGCGAAGGCCTTTGATCGTGTTTGGCACAAAGCTCTTCTTTCAAAGCTACCATCCTTCGGGTTGCCTGCGAAGTTATGCAAATGGGTCGCCAGCTTTCTCGCTGATCGGAGCATCAAGATCGTTGTCGATGGTGCTTGCTCCGACCCACACTCTGTGAATGCTGGTGTTCCACAAGGCTGTGTGCTGTCTCCGACTCTGTTCCTTCTGCATATCAATGACATGTTACAAATCAACAACATTCATTGCTATGCGGATGACAGTACCGGAGATGCTAATATGTCGCAGGCAAAAGTTATAGAGTACCGGAACAAACTTGTGTCCGAAATCGAAACTTCACTCCAGCAAGTTTCGGTTTGGTGTCAGGAAAATTGTGTTCAATTCAACCCCAAGAAGACACAAGTTTGCGCGTTTACCGCTAAAAAGATTCCATTTATCGTATCTCCTCAGTTTCAAGACACTCTCCTTGATGTGAAGCCAAATCTCGAGGTCCTTGGCGTTGATATATCCAGTGACGTTCAGTTTTGCGGTCATTTGGAGGACAAGGCTAAAATAGCCCATCGCTTGCAATTATACAAGGTGCAGATCCGGCCGCACATGGAATACTGTTCTCATCTCTGGGCGGGAGCACCACAATACCAGCTACTTCCATTTGACCGCATTCAGAACCGAGCAGCCAGAATCATTGGTAATTAACGTCTATGTGACAGACTCGACCCATTGGCTTTGCGGCGTGATATTGCATCTCTGTGCATTTTCTACCGCATATATCACGGGGAGTGTTCTGAGGAATTGTTCGGATTAATACCAGCTGCTGAGTTTCACCACCGTACCACCCACCAGAAACTGAAATACCATCCTGATCATCTGGATGAATGGCGGTTTTCCACAGTGCGGTTTTCTAGAAACTTTTTGCCTCGCACAACCACATTGTAGAATCACCTTCCAGCAATGGTATTTCCGAACCGATACGATATTGAAATCTTCAAGAAAAGAGCTTATTCCTTTTTAAAAGGACGACAACGTACTTGCAATTCCTCTGGTGTTGCGGGTGCTCATGGGCGGCGGTAATCACTTACCATCAGGTGAGCCACATGCTAGTTTGTCCCCAGTGTTATAAAAAAAAATATAATAACGATAATGTAATCAGTGCCTATAGTACCAATAACTATATTCGTTACTAGATATAATATCAAAATTAGGCTAATAAACAAAAATTACATATAATACATATATGAAATTTCAACAATCAATATACATAACTAACGGCCGCCTCTATTGGATGTACTGAAAGGGTTAAAAATATAGAAAATAAAACGAATAATTAAAAAATACTTTTAAATATAGAGCACAGCCCATATTAAGTTGTTTTAATATGGGCCATATTCGTCTCGATTGGATTGACAAACATACTATTTGAGTCTATTTTTAGTTAGCACAAATCTATTCATACTCAAAGAACTACGAGTGAAATTTTTGACAATGTACCTGATTGTACTTCTGAATGAAATCCCCTAAGAAGCTGTAACTCCTTTTATTGGAAAACTTAATAATACAAAGGTAGCATTCTTTAGCTGCGGTCATACGTATGTATCTACTTTTATAAATGGTTCTTTTACCGTCATACTAAAACTATTTTTAGGATTCCGTATTAAGGATTATAAGAGAAGTGAGAAGATACAGTTGTATGTTATAGTAGTATATGCTATTTTATTATTATTATTATGCTTGTTAGTCTATTATTTTGTATATAAATATGTAGATATGATCATGAATATGCATTAAAATTAGTTCATTCAACCCACCCTATTTTTATAAAAATATTTTAAAATAATAATTTTAACTCTACATTTCACCTAAACTAACTTCGTATTATCTTTACTTCTACTTGAGATTAACTAGCCTGCATTTTAAACCTAACTTGATATTTACTTTATTCTTAATTATTTTGTAGTTATTTCTATAATACATATCTATATTTAAAATAAGCACCAGATTCCTCTTCGAGTGGCAGTCAATAAAGACAGAATAGTCTATATTATTGTCGATCTCCGATAGAATGTGGACTTGCATGATATGCAGAAGCTATTCCTGGCAGTGAAAATCTAAGGATAACATATACTGGGAGGAGGAATTGGTGATGATCAATATCACTCCATTTTCTTCGGTTTGCTGCCGTTATATCAAGTACTAATTTTATTATGATAAAAATAGGCTAATATGTGGAACAAAGTCCGAGTTTTAACAGTGATATACAGTTTGCAACTACATAGAAATAGAAGACTCTAATTTTTATGAAATTATACTATTCAATACTTCCTGCAGCAGAGTATATGAATGCGTAGATAATAGCTAGGCAATTATTAACCTAATTTATTATTTTGAAGTATTTAAATGTAGTGTAGGAGGTCCTTCATTTCCTCTCACCCCTTCGCCCCTCTTCCATCAGATTCACCTGGTTAAATTTAAACTCACGAATTTTGTGATTCTCGTGTAGTATTGAGTGTACATTTATGTTACTAGAAATATCTATATTTCTACGTTCCACATAAAATATTTTTGCTCAAAGAAAAATATAAACAGGCATTGTAAAGTATTTTATGTCTGACGCAAGACTGCTTGTGTGAACACATTTATCTTGGCAAGCATATAAGAATACCTTCTATCTATAAAATCTTTGCTTTAAAAAATGTACATCTTTATGTCTAACAGTTGATTCATTTTCTTTTCCTCAGAGATATTTTCTGAAATGATTCTAATCGTGAATATTTTCTGTTCTACGGAAACAGATGGACATTTCGAATTTAGTATTTATGGAAAAAGACTTGCTCCACGCTTTACTCATATGAACAATTTATAAATAATAATCTATCTATCTATCTTTTTAATACTAAGAATGGTTTCATGAAACGTAAAGGTAGTGCTGCAAACTTTGCATGTTCAGTGATGAAAATGCAAATTCTCAGTTTTCTCAAAGGTATTGTAGTATTATACTTTTTAACTATCTTCAACCTAATTTTATTTTATTTGTACTACTCAATATCTTTCCCAACTGTAAACAAATAATTGAGAATTTTGCCTATTTTAGTCTTTTATATTCAAATTATAGCAATATTAATCTTATGAAAATATTCAATATATTTTCATTCATCTCCTCATTCGATTCATCCCTCAGTATGTTATAAATATACTAGAATGTTAGTAAAATTTAGGTTCATAATTTAAAAGTAATATTGAGTATCTTATAATTAGTAATATTTAGCTAACACCGGTCCATTAAAACCCACTGAACCAGTTTAAAAATGATATTCTAGCTTTTTTTCCTTCTAACATTCAGAATTATGTATATATATTTTATAAAACAACCAGCTCTTTATAACGTAAAAGAAAACATAATCGTCTTATATTTGTCGTAAACCACTCTTTGAACTAACTGGGTATTTTACGATTTAGTCCAAGCAAATGGGGAAAACGAATATATGTCTACCTAATAATTTTCTGAAGCTTAATCTATTTATGTTTTTCCATTAGAAGTGTTAAATATCGGTTTAACACGAAACATAATAGGAATTATTTCATATAACTTACTGTATGCGTCTTCCACTAACTGTAAAATAAACGGTCTAGCTTAATCACGTTTTGGTAGTGTTGATTTGTAGTGAAGACCTTAGAGTCTAAGTAGGGCTAATCAGGATACTCATAAACAACACCAACAATTTATAACTTATTTTTATATTCTTAAAAATGTTTAAGTACACTTTTATAATGAGCGCATAGAAATATCTTAAACATTGACTGTAAGAAATTTCTTTATGCGATAAGTTTGCTGTTGCATTTTCATATTATTATCTTTAACCTAAAAATTTTTTCTAGAATAAAGTCCAATAAAATATAACAAAAATAGTTACAGACATCGTTAAATTCATCAACCATTTATCAAATAAAATACGCATACGACATGAAACGTAAATTTAAGAAACTATGCAGACTAATAATCAATTTAGGAAATATAAAATGAAATTGGCACCTTTCGAAAAATACGTCCGAGCCATCGGAGTCACTGCGTGGCAGGATAAGTTTGGGTAGCACCATTCCTTTCTTTCGACGACCTCGAATGCCTGACGGTGCAGGCCACTGTAACTCCGTTATTGCCATTGGACTGTGTGGGCTAAGAATTGTTAAACGTCGTTCCGGAGGTGGTAAGCTAAGTTGCTGTAAAGCTCGTCTTTCTGTGCTAGCAAATAAACCACGTCTTTTTTCCGCTGAATTTCCCATATCTTCCCCAGATAATGCCCGTCTAGCAGGTGCACCTCGCGTTTCTCGTACATCTCTCTCACTTGCTGTCAAAAAGGAACTCCTATGAGTACGTACCGACGTACATGAACTTGCAGGCCTAGCTGGAGATGTGTCTTTACTTGGACGGAGACTTTCCATAGAACGGGCTGTTTCGACCCGTGCTGCTGCTAAATATTGACCGCTCGTGACGGTCGTATGAGCAACTTCGCATTCCTCTTGACTTGAACTCGAAGTACCGCTGCGTGAAAATGTACTCGCTTTGGAAACAAAGCTTCTATCACTATACTGAGCTGTTGATATACTGGAACAAGTATTGGCATCGGCAGACTCTGAAGAAGCTTGTTGACGAACGTAACCCTCTTCTAGTGAAGAGTGTACGACACGAGCATTTATAGAGCTAAAGGTCGCCAGATTCGGTCGTCGGCTCTTTCGCTCATCATCTTCTTCTTCCATTTTTTTTATTTAATTCAGAACATCGAAATACACACAACACTAACAATACACCATTTCCGTATTTTAATAATTTTATTGCATTCTCATATATTTTAACTTATATATTAAATGATGAACATAAAATAAGGAACACTGGACACAGTCTTTATCACTTTTCGGGAAACCACAACCCGCGTGCTTAAGGAACCTGTAACAAAATAAATGTGTTAGTTACAATTTCTAAAATCTTTAATTATTAACTTTCAAAAATAAATTATATTAGGAAATGTTAAAAATGTAAAGGATATAAAGGAAACTGGCAAGGAAAGGAAACTTCAGATTAATCGAACAACTGTTTCCTAATAAATTCCAGGTTAGGTTATGCTTTAAGTATTGTAATATACATCACGTATTATTACAGTTAAATCATAATGTGGTCTCAATTTACTTTTCTTTTAATTTAGTTATAATTAGGTATAACTCATTACATGGTTCAATTAGCAGCCTTCGAGTCCAGTGCCAGTTGTCCTGCTTGGTTTGCGCAGTCTGTTAGAGCTTTTACTTGCTCTGCATTTAGCCCTGACGCTTTTACTCTTACGTCAGCACTTTTAGAATGTTCTTTGCTCTCGCTACTGGACTCTACTCTCTTTGTAGTTTCGTTGCCATATTCGTCAATAAAGGTTTCCTCTTGAAATTCTTCTTCATAACTTTCTTGATAATGTTCACGAAACTCTTGTCTTGCTTGAATAGATATTCTTTCAGTTGTTTGTCGTTGTTGAATTACTTCATCCATAGTCTTTTTCACTAGTTGCTGGCCAGCTTCCAGAGTCTTGCTTTCAGACATTGTGATTTTTTATTTCTCTAGAAAAAAAATACCGGATCAGATTAAAATATATCTAAGACGGTAACCAATGTTGAATGAATATAAACAACGTATATTTCCAGTAGCACAAGCCAATATATCTAGATAATAATGAACATAATTACTACAAGAGACAAATTAATTTACATAAAAAAGAGAAGATAATACCAATACTTGTAAATTATTCACTGTAGTGTATAAGTAAATCTAAAATCCCGGCTTGATAGAAATTGATAGTTGGCTTAATGCCAGACGAATGTTTGGATCGTATTTAAATTTACTCCGACTGAAAATTTTGAACGCCAGTCGTACCGAGTTTCTATAGTCATATTTAATATGAAAGTAAACTGAAAACTTCAGGATATGGTGGATCCAAGACTTAATTCAATTATACAGGCCTTTGTATTGACTCTGCTGGCATTAGAGAAGAGAATTGAAAATCTAAACTGTTTAGTTTAATGAAAGAGTTTTAATGTAACTATGTATATATTAAAATATCTATGAATATATTTAACTCATGAATATAATTTATATGAGTTCTTTGTACATAATCTCGAGTCACTATACCTTTTTTCTGCTCATAAATAATGACTAAAAGACAAAGTAGTGGAATGTTCCAAATACCTGTCTTAGTTGTAGTGACCTATATTTTACTAATAAATATACTTAAGTCGGATATATAAATAAATCGAGAAGGTGACTGACTGTGTAACTACTTAAGTTTAAGGTCAAGATTGTATAGAAAAAAATTGAATAGTGGAACATGATCTCTATAACTTTACTTGATTACTAAATAGATAGATTTTTCGAATTTTTCCCCAGAAATAGCGTATCGGCGAAATAAGCAATTTTTTTTTATTTTTGCAATAAGGTTTTTAAATTCCATAAAACAATGTGAAGGTAAACTCTATTCATACGACAGGCAACCTTATTTTATTTCATGTAGTTGGATATGTTTTAAGTTTAGTTCGTCTTAATAACACATAGCACAGCGACGAAAATGAGTTAGCAACTTTGTTGGTTATTTAATTTCCGTATAAAGTCGTTCACTTTAATACTACTAAACTTCAGCCATAAACCAGAACTTTATTAGAGTTGATGTATTTAAATTGCCATCTATTATTTTTGGTTTCAGATTTATAATTTACATAATTAAGTAAATATTTAAATAATTATACAAAATTAAGTAAAAATTAAATAATAAATAAATACCTTATTAATCCGATATACAAAATAATATCCTTTCAGTATAATATTGCACTGAAGTAAATACAACTTTTCAGTAGGTACAATTTTTATGGGAGATGTGTGCGGCTAAAAGTTCGCGCATGGACTGAGTGGGGAGGACGCCGCACCGCGCTTTGTTTCATCGAGCTTTGCGTGGGCGCATTGCCACGTAGTCGATGCGCCTGTACATTGACCATTATATCATTATATTGTGTGTGTGTCGCTTGAAACACAATGGAATGCGTTAATTCGCATACCACATCAGTAGGGCTGCCGCAACAATTATTAAGAAAATACATAATTTTCGTTATATATTTTTATTAAATAGGTTGTTTATACATATATTTATCGTCGCTGTGAGTTTAGATTTAGAACGGTTCAATGATTCGAATGAATTTATTAGGTCTACCAGATGAAAAAAATAGCTGAAGGTACTAAAATGTAATCAAAGTAAATTAAATGTTCAAAATACAGTTTGTAGAAACAAATTATTCATTAATATGTATTTTAATTAACTGCTTATAAATTTTTCATATGATGATATGATATAAACATAGTGCAGGCTTAACCAGAATACTTATTGAAACTTTTCAGTACTCGCAAGCCCTCTGAAATAGTTTAAATACGAGGAAGTCCTTCGTAGAACTATAATTATGAGTCTACGATACGAAATATTCCTCTTAATATTCATGGAATAAAGTTTGTTTGTCATACTATAATAATAAGTGGCGTAACACAAGAATATGTTGCTTGTAGGAATGTAGCCATAATTTTGTATGTATTGGCTCTGACATCTCCAAAGTAATGACCGGCATTCACAACATCTGCTTTGGCAAATTAACCACCTTTACCAATTAATTTTGACAACTAATGTGGGATCTAATAAATCTAAAATAAAACATGAGATATCTGCAATAAATAAACTACTACGGCACTTAAGTCTAATCTGAAAGGAACTTTTAAATAACATACGAAAGGTTGTGAATTCATATTTGAAACAGTACCATATATTCTTAGTTTTTTTTTTCTATAATAGAGTAAATGTTTGTTTCGTTTAGGAATAAATTAAATATATAATAATACAAAACAGTCAATTAAATTCGCCATGAATATTTTTTTAAATGAGAATAAGAATAAATAAGTAAACAGAATAAAAATAAGCAGGATAGGATTAGGGTTAATGCACATTTAAAGAGAGCATCTGTCAAATTCCGACTGCTTTAGAGGACGACTCATGAGAGTTGGATTGCCAAACTTAGCTGAAAATAGCAGTATGCGTCAGTAGACAGGGAATCAAGCGATGACTCCTCCCTCGCAAGATGGAGGGGGCGATAAACATTAGATGTATGAATAATGATTGGCCCAACACTCCGTCTGACTAACTTTATCATTACTGCAACGAAAATTCAAATGCCCACGTGTTTCTCGAAGCTATGGCTTATTCTACACCGTGGAAACGGTTTATTTCCGAAAATTATTCATCGGGTAACAACACATTGTGATTCATTCGCTTTTTAGAGCAGAGACAGTGTGGTTGATTTTTTTGCTATTTCTATTCCATTAATTGTGGCGTATTTCTTATTACTCACTTTATTTATGAAATGAAAAACATGTTATCGCATGTTTCTTTGCATAGTACAACACCGGTTTATATTTTTTATTTTTAATCACATTGTAATGACAAGCCATTTTTATTTCATTGGCCGAGCAATGGCTATTTTTATACTGACAAATTGAATGTATTGTCTTTGAAATAAAAATAGAAAAACAATTATAGCGCTACAAGTATTTTCACTTTATTATATAATTTTAAAAGAAGTTATCATTATTTGCTCATAACTTCACTTTAATAACGTCCTTTTAATAGTTACTATATGTAATCCTATAGGTCGGTAGCAGATTAATGAACCAGATGTACTATCTATATACTACAATATATTACAATTATTTGCAGGTGTATTTACATCGGGATGTAGTATATTTAAATTGTTAATTACCATACCATTAATAATTATAATTAATTGTTAGTGTCGGATCATGATCTAAGTTTGATTTTTTATTTATGCACTTCTGTTTTTGTGGTAAATTAGATTATTATAGGTATTTTAATAAAACTGTTTAATAATAAAGTTTGAATATTGGTATTGATATTAGTTTTTACTTTCTATTAATATTAACACGCTGCTTTGTTTACAAGTAGGAAGTCTATTAGACTACAGTGAATTTAATCATAGTAATAAATTACGTATTGAAAGCAATAGACTAATTGATAGACATATAGATATGGTACGTTTGACACTCCTTATTTCCGGCACATCCATTATGTACCTATTTGTACTTGGGTAGATTTCACTCGACATAATAAAAATAAAGTATTTTTAAGATATCATTCTCACAGATGTAATATGTTGAAACACATATAATAATGTGTTTCAATATATAATTGTTATCAACGTTAATTAATCATTATAATTGGAAAATTTTACATGTTATGATATATATTACGTTAATACAACAAAAGGTGAATAAACTACATAGAAAGATATTTTTTTCCTTTCCGGAATCATCTAAAAATCGGTTCAAAATTATGGAAATCATACTGTAGCATTTTTAGTTACTTTTTGCTGAATATTGTTATCTCCTTCAGGATATCTGCCTTTATATTAATCAAAATGTATAAATCGATAATCGATATCTTCAAGCTAAGCTATATTTACTATGTTTATTATATTTATTTTACGATGTGAGCAGGATATCAAAGTTTTTCCACCGATGACGTCTCATCAGTCAAATCCTGATAACCAATATACCTACATAAATCGCAGTAGGCCCTTGTCATATATATCATAAACATAGTAAATATAGCTTAGCTTGAAGATATTGATCGGGCACAAATACGAGTATCAAGCGGATTAGTGGTTGAAATTCAATCATAAATCACTTCATTTTCATATGTAATTATCATTACATTATTTTACAGGTACATTGTCGTGACCCGATTTACACTCTGAAGGTCGTGAATTCAATTCTGGCCGTCACCGGCAACTTTGTGTATCAATTTATATTTCTGACTCTCCGAAAAAGGACCCATGCTAAAACCAATAATTAAAGCGATAGAGAAGCTGGCCACCTGCCTTATGCTTCAAATATACCGAGCGAAATGTGGGCTTGTCAATTGTTGCACACTTACAACACCATCCGGGAAAATAGTTTTGACAGTATGGTTATGTCTTATGTATGGATTACATATTATACAAAAATTGTTTCTTTTTACACTTCGTCGTCGTTCGTTCGTCAGCTTTAATTATGCCATATCTCATACACAAGCGGGATACGTGTTTTAAGTCTTTCATGTATAAATTTCTAACGCTGTATGAAGAGGATTTGCGACTAGGAATTGCGACCTAGTAAATATCTTACATATCTAATTAATCAATAAATTTATTATATAGAGCATTGGATTCAATAAGGATATAATTTTATTATCAGTCAACTCTGACTCATCACGCTCTATGTAATAAATCAAAATAGTAAATAGTACAAATTATGTTATCACCTCCGAGTCCTTTACAATAATTTCATTTGTTATATGGCATGGAATTTAATAAGTCATTTTATATATAACAGTTCGGTAAATGCTAGTGATGATATTGTAATGAAACAAGATTAATGTTCTATTATGTTCTAATTTGACTTATAAAGTACCATATTTAATAACTAATTGTATTTATTATAGCTAATTAATATTGAAAATATAGTTTCTTTTATGTCTTTTATAATCGATAGATCTTTTATACATTTTGTAACATCAATACGCTTAGTTTACACATAACTCATATGTATCTGTGTACCGAAAGAATGTACTATATGATATAATATCCGTAGTGATATTGTCATAATAATAGATTGGTATAGTTTTATTCAAATAATATTAATATTTAATTGGTAGTGATGAAAAATGATGGATAGATATTTACTTGATATTTTAAATTAAACATCGACAATGTTTCATTTAAAATATCGACAAAAAATTCTTACAAAAGTACGGCACTTTGCCAGCGGCATTATATTGACGGCTGCTACCGACGTGCAGTTTTTTATACAGTTGGTATAATGGCGTTCACCTAAAAAAAACTTATATACTATGATTATTCATTTCAATTACAATTTCTGAAATGAAAACCAAGATTAATGAATGATTAAAACTGCTTTAACTATATTTTTAGATATTATTTAAAATTATTACGGCATCCGCGACCCCTCTGTTAAATACTAATGTACATAATAACCGCCAAGAAAAAATAATCTACTGTATTTATGGGAATCGAACGAGCAATCAAGGTCCAACCAACAAACCATTTAACCAGCTGAAGGTGATGTTTTTACCCTGTACCCTAAAAATAACCAACGTAAAGTTCGTGAATTCAAAATCTTACTAATTGCCAAAGTCATTGATTTAATACCTCATCAAGAAAATACGACCACCATCTAAAAGTACAAATTAGGTACGTAAATAACAGCAAAAATATGGTTTCTCTGCTTGAACAATAAGAGAGGTATGTTATGTATTTATTTGCGTCAAGGTGACGTGGTTACAAGGTCGCAAAATTGAAATCTATTGTGAATACAATACGTCACAATCCAGCCACGAAATCTATAAAGCAATTAAAGAAAGTCACATTATTTGGTAGTACTAAAAGCAAGGTTTTCCGGTAGGTACTTAATAATATGAAAACAGTTATGTTGTAGTTAATATTATAAAGATAGAAGATATAGATATAAAGAGAGCAGATTTTATTACAACGAAAGATAATTCAGGAACCAGCGAACGAATTTACGTAATTCGTTTTCAATTTGAAAGGACATTTGACACAGTCTATTCCAGAGTGACATTGTTAATATATATAAAACCAACAAAGTTATGAACTCCTTGGCGTCGGCATTAAAATAAAAAAAGATCGGCAAAAAATAGATCGTACATCAAGACTATAATATCTCATTGTCTGACTGTTCATAATCCTCCAAGCTGGAAAGATTGCCGTATTTTACATCTTAGTTATCTGTCCCGCAATAAATAGACAAAAGTTTATTCAAAGAAATCAAGTCCAGT